AAAAAAAAATGAAGATAGGCTTTGCTGGTATTTCAAACAAGTGGTTGCTAGATATGGTAAAAAGCAGTATGCCAGGAGCTTCTCAAGAAATGCTGCCTCGCAGTGCTCAGCATTCCGTACAACAAAAACTCAGTGGTTAAATTTAGCGTGTCAAAAACAAATTGGCGAAGTTGCAAACTTACTATTCGAAGCTCTCGTTCCACACCGGATTCAAAGTAGACCTTATTGTCCGACTTTTCTTCTTGGATTTGGCAGAGTGATCATCAGGTATTAACTTCAATTTGCAGTACGGATCAGAGAGGCCATTTGGATCCATTGGAATCAAATTTCGTGCTTCACTTACTAAAAACATTTTAACAGATAACGCGTAATTTCGATAATCAGTTCTAATTTCACAAGGGTTTGCTGAGTATCAGCAAGAAACCTGTGTCATGCAACGCTTGCTCACATCAGCATGATGCGAGACAATGAATAAATATAAGCCGTTTAAGCTGACTTCCTTTCATTCCCAGCAAAAACAAAGCCGCCATAAAATCGTGTTTCTGTGCCAAAAGGCTCCAGAGCCATTCCAATTTCATTTACCTATCCTACGTCATTAGACTTAGACTTCCAGAAGACAATATCTGATAAATAATTCAATGAAATTTAAATAAAGAAGATTTGTTATACCTTTAACTTTGAGGATACCATTCTCCACACGAATAGCAAGATGTATTCGGCCACGCTTTTCGATATAATCTGTGCCGCACATATTCGGCACATATCTCACACATTTATGGTGTACGTTCACATCGCAGGACTGACACTTTTTGCCCTGTAACTTCCGCCTTCACTGATTTCACTCAGCAATTAACTTTTTTTTAGAACATATGTTCAGGGAAATTTCAGTGAATTCAAAAAGCATGATGCTGTTTTTCGGCTTCACTGGCAGTTATTTGTTTTGCTGAATGAGGCTAAAATGCTCATCTATTTTTTTTAAGTGAATTTCAATTTAATCTTATATTTTTATATGTATCATAGTTAATATCTCTGTAATGCCAAGCAAAATCACACACTCCTTCTACTGGAACCCAAAAATACTTATTAATAAAGAGATGAATGTCTTGGGTGGCTCGTTCTGATATTATACGATTAGTCTGAATTCAGATCCGGGACCGCAGCATAGCTTAAACTTTGAAGCCCTTTTTCAGTTTTGAAGCCTGATCTTGTATTCCAGCAAAACTTGACTTCATGGTGTACGAACTAAATTTTGGTGAACTAAATTTTTGCGACATCTTGTCCTCGAGCTAAAAAAAGGCTTAAGTTTAGACTTGAAGTCATCGGTTAGGACAGAAATCGACTTAAAGGATGTTACCATGCGTTTAGCCAGATTCGGAGACACGACATGCTTTTAGAATTTTTGCTCTCTAACTTGTATTTTCTTATTTTGAATTTCACGGGCAGAAAATGCAAACATATAAATACGAACAATGTCTCGCTACAGTGTATTTCTACACAAACCAGTGCGGAATCTTAACGCACCTGATGAATAAGACCATACAGCAATGATCCGCAGTGGTCGCAAAAAGTTGGCGATGAAAATGTATGTACTTTCCATTTGTGCTGCTGACGCGGATCCTAAAATTTAATCAAAAAGTCAAAAGCCTCCCCCACAACTCAGAAGTGCAGAGGTGCTTGAAAGCCCAAGTGGTAGCACATGTCAACAGCAACCACCCACTGTCGACGTCTTTCTCCTTTAAAATTTGGAAACAGCAAATCTTTTCTTCAAAAGATATAACCTGCTAGCACATAAAAACTGGTGTGGGAGGTGGATTAGGAGGCATTGGTAATAATTACTGAATCTTAGCTGCAAAAAGGCAAATTCAAAAGTGTCTGTAACTAGAACGAAAATAATTTTGCCCCATTGGTGGTGTACTTCTTTTCCTCTTATTTTTCAAATTTTTTTTCTCTTTGTATAAGACGTTCAAAGCAATGATAGACAACTGTCTATAGTAGCGTCAATCACTGCTTTGCATACGCTCTGCAAACATTACATGTTTCGAAATTGACTAAAAAACCGAGCAATGCCTGCTGCAAGGGACCGTGAAGGACTGGCTTAATTCATGTTGGCTGGACCCTTTACTGGTCAACACTAGTTAGCTTCACGTTTGCAGTTACGAGTAAGTTCTAATTCAAATGCAGTTAGCAAGTGCAGAATTGTGCAGTTTGAATGGAAACAAGTGTAGACTGCATAAACGCCAAATTTTGCCGGCCATTGAAATATTCCTTCTTTGCAGTCTTTCGTTTTTTTTAGGCCGTTTTAAATGCTTTTACAAACTGTAAACAGGAATTTTCTGCTAACTTCTAA